GCCCCCTCCGGACAGCCTCTGCCTCGCTCTCAAAACGAGTGCAGGGTCCGCGGACAAGCGCTCGGGCTCGGAGAGCCTTTGTGTCCCTAAAAGTGGCTGAAGACTCCCTCACACAGAGCCTCCACCCCTGCTCCGCCCCAACCCTGCTGCAGACTCGTCAAAACTACCGCTCCCAGAGTGCATCGCGGGAACCTAGTGACTCCGCGAGTCAGGTGACTGGGGTCAGGTGACTTCGGGCCCGCCCTCCCGCAGACCCAGCCGGACCGGGGAAGCGGGTACTGCCTGAAGCATCTTCTACGTCTCGTGGGTCGGTCCCAGAGCCTCCGAGGATCTCAGGTGAGAGCCGGCGCGGCCCCGACAGCCTCCTCCCCCTTCCCCAAGTGGAGCCCCTGGGGCTGGTGCGGCAAGCCGTTGGCAGCCCGCCGCAATCCAGCCCTGCTCAGCGGCGCCGGGGTTTCATCCCTGGTCACTTGTCCCGTCCTAGCGACACCGGACATTCCCCAGGTGCAAGGACCCGGGTGGAGGTGGGCGGAGGTAGGGCTCCCCGTGCTGTCGAGGTGATGGGGGTGGTCCGAGCCCCTTCCCCGCCTCCCGCTTAGTGTCCGCCTGAATCTGATCGCGGAGTTTACCGGTTGCTTTGGAGAAGGAAACCCTTCCGAAACTCCTGTGGAAGTAAGTGCTGAGCTCTGGGCCGGGCTCCAGGGCTGTGGGCAGGAGCCGGCCCCGCCCTCCGGGGGCTTTTGGGCTGAAGAAAGGAAGAACAGCTGGGCTTTGCCTTTTTCGACAGTTTGGAGGAAAAGAACAACCCTTAGGCTCTTATCCCAGGATAGGGAATGAAGTCAATTTCCGTAAGGTTTATAGGTTCACAAAGTCAAATATCTGACCACAGTTTTAATAATCTGGGGGGGGGGCGGAGGGGGAAGAACTCTAAACCAGTAAAACTGCATTCTTTCTGTTAAGTGGCAAGAAGCAGTCGAAGAGGAGAAAATTCAGTATTTGCCTACTTCCTCAGAGTGGGCCCTTACACAACCCACTTGGTCTCTCTGAGCCCATTTCGCTCTTCTATTAAAGATAAGCCCTCCCCGGAGTCCTGTTCTCCAAGCTGGTGAGGCAAAGCCCGTGAGGCCACAGGCGTGAAGTGAAAGTGTTTGATGAATAGTTCATGCCATGGTTCCAAGGGGCATATTGTCCAGGCGGCCTATGGCACTTCTGTGGCCACTACCCCACGGGACACATTGCTGCTGGGCTGACCCAACTTTAACCTGAACTTCTCTTGCTCTTTGTTTTTCTCACTAGCTCTTTGAAATTGAGGAACATGATAAGGAGTTGGCTGATTGTTTTTATCCTTTTTCCCCTGACGCTCATAGAGAAATGTGGTAAGTTTAGAAATGGGTCATCAACTTTGGAAAGAGGGAGATAGAGTAAGGAGCCTGACCTGTTTGTAGCCAAGGATTTAGGACTGTCCAGACTGGGTGGGCTTGCCGGGCCCGTGGTCAAGCAGCCACAGGGTGGTGGAGCAGACCCAGGGTCCAGGAGTTTTACAAGGAGTCAGATGATTCCATAAATAGTTGGCCTTCTGGCGCTCTCCCTTCAGGGGGCACACCCAGGCCATTCCCTTCCCCCTCTCTCTCCCCGATAAGCACATATCCCCTAACTTCTAAGGACCCCATGAGACCTGCAATCAGGAGAGAAATGGCCCTTGTTTCAGTTTCCTAAATATGTTTTTATTGCAGGCAATACATTCTTGTGTGCTTTTCTAAATAATAAATAACTAATCGGCCTTCTGTGCTGGGGTCCCTATTACCTTATCTGTATTACCAAAATCAAACTGTGGGTCTCCAACAATCTGGGATAATATCTGTAAAGAAAGGCTTGTGTTCCTGCCCTGTGGACCTCACTGAGGGAGGTATGGGCTCTG